CCCGACCCGCTCGCTACGGTCCGCCCACCCGCGGCGACGACGGCGTCGGCGAAACCAGCGCTGGCGAGACCAGCGCTGTAGGGCGACGAAATCTATACATATCCACTGCTCCCAGGCCAGGCCCATCCTCAACCCCGCAGCGGTGTATACGCCACGCCCTCCTGGCTTGGCCAGGAGGGCGCATACACAGCTCCTGGGTTCAAAATGGGCATGGTCAGGGAGCAGTGGATATGTATAGATCTCGTCGCCCGACGCTGGCGAAACCAGCCGCCGGCGAAACCAGCGGGGCGAAACCAGCGCCGGCGAAACCAGCGCCGGCGAAACCAGCCGCCGGCGAAACCAGCCGTCGGCGAGACCAGCGGGGCGAGACGAGACTGGCGCCGGCGAAACCAGCTCACGCGGGGAGGGAGGGAGAGAGGGGGGGAGGCAAGCTAGGTGCACTCGCGTCATATCTGACGTCCTACCCCTCCCTCCCATCCCTTACCATGGCGCTGATTTTCTCTATGCGTGGACGCGTGTCGTAGCGGACCTGTGGCTCCGCGCGCGCGTGCGTAGTGGGTGGTGGTGCACGTGCGTGCGTGCGTGCGTGCGTGTGTGCGTGGTTGTGGTGGTGGTGGTTGTGGTGGTGGTGGTGGTGGTGGTGGTGGGAAAGGGACGAAGAAGAGGAGGAGGAGGACCACAGTAAACCCAAGACTCATCGTCAATGTTGAAATGCACACATTCCCTCCGAGATCCCTCGTAGGCCTCTACGAAGGTCGCTTCCGCTGAGGAAAATGCCCCGCTGGGAGACAACAGTGTGAACATTTTGACGCAAACGGAAACACAATTCTCAAGATTTCAACCCCAAGAAGTAGCCTGACTGTTACGTCCTCGCGATCGTGAATCGTGCCAAATCACAATTCCTGGGACTCCTGAATCGGTACGTTAACCATGTGAAACCGTGAAACTCTTGATGTTTGAGACGACTGTGCGCGGCGCTAAACGAGAACAACATTTTGAAAACGGCCCGCCCTCAATCCGTGCAACTCGTGCAAATGTGTAAACAAAACGAGTGTGCGCGGCGCTAAAGCGAGAACCACACATTGAAAACGGCCCGCCCTCAATCCGTGAAACTCGTTACACTGTTTCAAAAAAAAGGAAGCGCGCGTCGCTAAGGCGAGAGCCACATTCTGAGAACTACCCGCCCTCAAACCGTGGAACTCGTGCAACTGTTTAAACTGAATGCACGCGGCGCTAAGGAGACAGCCACATTGTGAAAACCACCCGCCCTCCATGTGTGGAAACATTGCCAATGTTCAAGCATCAGTGCCATAAATGGTGAGAAAGTCTCAGGCGAAACGCCTGGCCCGCCCTTCCGACTGACCTCGGGATGCGACAGGGAGGAGTTACCTAGAAGGAAAAGAAAAAGAGGGAGGCGGAACCCACGGGGGGGGGGGGCGACGGCATGAGGGCCCGCGATGCCTCCAGATGAGCAGGCGGGTAGCAGTGGTGAGGAAAGCGATGGCGAGATTGACGAAGATGAAAAGGAAGAGGAGGAGGAGGAGGAGGAGGAAGAGGAGGCGGCGGAGGAGGAGGGGGAGGAGGGGGGGGCGGCGCATGGGAGGGAAAAGGAGGGGCCTCACCCCCACCGCTCTGGAATCGTGTCCTGGCCTGTCGAGGAATGGTGGATGTGGATAATTCCGCCCGCTCCTGCGCGCGGGAAGTGAAAGTGCTCTATTCATTGTTTTGCCGATCGGCGCGGGCCCTCGCGACGCCCCTCCCCACCCCCATTGACTACCTACCAGACCACCCCAACCCAACCCGAAGACCCGAATTTCGGGTTGGGGGGGGTACGGATTCCATATGTGTTTTCTCGATGTTCCCCGACCCCCCCCCCACTGGAAATGGAGGTCAATTTGAGGCCTTCTGGTTGGGTTGGGGTGGTTTGGTAGGTGGTGACCACCCCCATGGAGTAGATCATGGCTGGTTTCGGCGCCTGTTTCGATCAGGTGAAGTCTCCCCCATGGGATGCACGGTCCGAAACAGTCAGATCAGGCAGAGGTCCGGAGCCACACACACCCCTCCCCCTCCCCCTCCCGACCAATGTCGAAACGCCGAATCTAAAAACGTTCACGCTCCGCCGCTCCCAGGACCCGCCTCGATTCGATCGCTCTGGTTCGGCCCCGACGAAGTCGAACTTACAATCGGCAGCGAGCGAGGGAAGGAAGTGAAAATGAGAAAGCCTTTTCACAAGGCGACGGGACTTCTCAGAAACCCTCGAGCTCTCTGTTAAGTTTTTGCGTATTCGGGGAAGCCTTGGACAACTTCTCAAAGGCCCGATCAATCTCACTTCCCCCCCGCGTTCGCCACCAATACAACCGTACCGATCCGGCTCATCTTGCCAATTCGACATTCCCCGAGCCAGCTTGCAGGGACCGATTCGATGATTTTCTGGCTCCAGCTCCAACTCGGCGTCGAGCCCGAAGACCTCCAGGAACGACGCTCCTGGAGGTCTCGGGGCGCGACGCCGAAGCGGTGGGTATGGACATATCTTGGCGGCGCCGTCTTTGGGGGGTTGTCGGAGGTCGGATGCCCCCAAGAGTCTTACAGGGGAGCTGCGATTTCCGCTGTTTCCCGGTGGTTCCCGTTGCTTTTTGGGCGCGCGCCGTGGTTTTTGGTCCTCCCCCTCCGCCCCGACAGACCATTCAGTGTCCTGGAACTTTCTATGCTTAGCACGTTGTTCAGGATTCTGCACGCAAGTTCGCCACGAATCTCCCCGTGTGTATATACATATATATATATATATATATACACATATGTGATGTGCGTATACACAAACATAATACATAATCATTCGAATTTTGCATGTACCTTCAGGGAGGGCGGCGGTGTAGAAAGTCGCTCGCCCCCAGTGGGGATCTATACACCGCCATCCTCCCCTGAGGCCAAGGCGCAATCCATTGAAGGGTGTTTGTGTACATTTCTCATGGCGGAACAAACCCGGGTCAATGCAAACCTGGCGTAGCAAGATCCCGACAAATCCAGCGCTCTGACCGACCCCCGTTTGCATGGACACCCGTCCGGGGAGGGCGGTCGCGGGCGAGTCGTCGTCGTCGTCGATGTTTTCGTCGTGGTCGTCGTCGTCGTCGTCGTCGTCGTTGTCCTCGTCGCATTCCAACGTAGGTATGTTACCACAAAAGGGGGTCATGAGGCAAACGTTGAAACACATATTCGGCCATCTGTGCATGCGCGGTCTGGCGAAGACGGGCGGCATCAACGCGACGCAGAAGAGCGTCGTGGACTCGAGACGCCGCCGCGCACGACGACCCTGACAGCCTTGCTCTGCAGCTGTCATTTTCGTTTAATGCTGGTGCACGGGCGTGCAAAACACCGCCCCACCCTCATGCGCCATCCCCCTCCTCCTCGCCCCCTCCCCCCCGTCCGACCCCCCCTTCTCATCATGCCCTTCCTCCTCCTCCTCGTCATTTCACTGTCCCCTTCCGCCATTGCGCGGCGTTCCTCATCGCCGTCCTCCGCCCGACGCCTCCCTCTGCGCCCTCCCCCGCCTTCCCCTACGGCCATGCGCAAATCATCCCACTTCCGTGTGCAATCGCCCGCCTTTTTCGTATGCTGGCACCGATGCTGCAGTTCCTCCTGGTCCCATTCCCTTTCCATCCGCCGGCCTCGTTGCCACCTCTTGTCTCGCACCCTTTCCCCTCCCATCGCGCATCATCCCCAGGCACCCGCGCCTTTGTCCTCCCAAACCACGGCCCCCTCCGTGACCAGCAAGGATCTCGGCTGGAACTCCCATCCAGGCGCCGCCCCAACTGGTAGCGCGCAGCGCTTGCACTGTTGGGCGCACCGCGAACTATGTATTTCGCCCACCCGGAAAGTCCCCGAGGACAAGCCGAAAAAAACGCGGAACGTCCCGCACAGTCACCACCACCCGCGAGGAGCACACTCCAAATACACACATGGGAGCACGAAGTGTGTACACATATCACACCACGATCTGCGTAAACGGTGGACCCACACACGCAATTACACAGTTGAAGACACGAGCAGCGTACACAAATCACACCTTGATCTGTGTATTTCGGAAGGGTAAACGCTCGCCACCTCGACGGCGCCCCTACTTTGCCGAACCAAAACCGAAGTCGACGTCCCTGGCTGGGGTGAGTGCGATACACACATCCTTCGCCCAGGGCGGCCCCCCGGAACTGCAAATACATGTATCCTGGGCACAGGGCGGCCACCGTGGAACGCGGCGCCAAAGCTGCCCCCAACGGCCCCACGACGCCCCAAGAGGGCCCCGAAGGACCCCCCAAAAAGGCCCGACACCAGTCCGACAACATGACAGGTGCCACGGAAGTCTGAGCAAGCATAACTCGAAACGTCCCCGTTCGGACCGCTGCGCTGGACCGGTGGCGGACCTCGCCGCAGGCACCAAAACCTTACATGTTAGCGCTGCGACTGTGTTTGGCGGCCGGCGCCGCCCGCGTTTGGAGTGCGCCCGGACCATTTGCATTGGCCACGCCCTCCTCTACTTTGCTGGTTCGCTGTGCCCGGATATCGACCGGGCAATAATTACATTACGAACACGGGCGCGCGGCCCCAACACTTGCCTGTCTTGGAACAAGGAGAGACGACAGGGTGGGACGACGGATGGTGGAACACGGATGCATGGAGGAGGAGCGAGGAATGGGGGGGAGGAGGAAAAGGGCGCTCCTCCGCCGGAGCCGCGGCCGCCTTCGACCCCATCCAGGGGATAGAGAAAGGAGATGGGAGCAAGGAGGAAAACGACGACGGAAAACAACATGTCAGCTGCCCGCAGATATACCACATGCTTGTGATTCGGGTGGGCGCGACCTCTTCGAGGCATGTCAATCCCGACCCCTGCTGAATTCACGAATCCCTCCAAACTGTGTAAATACCGTGCCCTGTGCAATTCCTCCTAAACAAATGCCCCGCAACAGAGGGGCATTGGATTCCAATCGTCGTCGTCCCTTGAGTCCCGGGGCCTCGGGGAAGTCGAGCGGCCGGCCGAACTCCAGCGTCAGCGGCGGCCGGAGCCGCCCGAGCCCGCCGCGGCAGCGGGGCTGGAGCCCCTCGGAGGCGCCGTCGACCGAGAGGAGCGCCCAGCCTGACGGCAGCTGCTCGAGGAGGGGGGGGAGAGGGAGGGGAAGGGGGAGGGGAAGGAGGACGAGGAGGAGGAGGAGGAGGAGGTGGGGGAGGAGGAAAAGGAAGAGGAAGAGGAGGAGGAGGGAGAGGAGGCGGAGGAGGAGGAGGAGGAGGGGGAGAAGGAAGAGGAGGAGGAGGAGGAGAAGGAGGAGGAGGAGGAGGAGAAGGAAGTGGCTGAAGAGGAGGGGGGGACCCTGACATGATCGCGTCGAAGAAAACACGACGGGAGATTGTTGGCCTTTTTCGGCCTCCCGGGGCCGTTTGCTGGGCCCTGGGGCCGCCAAAAAACAGTCCAGGAATCAAAAATGGACACTGGAACAGGGTCGGGATTTCCAGGGACCACGTATTGAAAAGATCAGAGCGCCGCATGTCTGGGAGGGGGAAGGGGAAGAGGAGGGAGAGGGGGAGGAGGAGGGGAAGGAGGAGGAGGAGGAGGAGAAGGAGAGGGAGGAGGAGGATGAGGATGAGGAGGAGGAGGAGGAGGAAGAGGAGGAGGAGTAGGAGGACTTTTTGACTTCTTTGATTACGGGCGCTGTCCTGGGAACGATTTCTAATCACTGGAGCTATCCCCAGCTCCCCTCGGGCTGGGGTTCCTGGCCCTGGCCTGGCCTGGTGGGAGCCGCGAGGCGAAACCCGCTCCCTCCTGAGCCTCCCGAAGCTCATCAGCTTGGCCAGGAGGGCCCGATTTGGGGTTTCCTTGAGGCGGCCGATTGAGGTCCGCCCTTGCCACGCACACTGCCAAATCTCGGGCCCTGATGACCTCACGAATTGTCCTCGGGGGGCCCTCCCTGCGCGGGAACACACATTTGGCGAGCCTCGCAAGGGTCTCCGAACCTTCGGGGATCCTCCCATCACACCTAGCTGCTGAATTACGGGGGTGGACTGTCATGCACAGGCCACGCTCGGCGCACACACAAACAAAAACGATTGTTCAACGTACTGGAGTTTCTGAGAGTGGTGAATCCTCGCGCACACGTCCTGATCTCTAATTGCAAGCGCGATTCTCTCACCTGGCGCGGCCTGGGGCCCGGCCCCGACTTTGGCGGTGTGCCCTGAACACTTCATGGCTGCGAAATCCCGAGCTTTGTATCGGGGGGTAACTCTCTCACACACCGTGCACCACCAAAAACGCGCGCTTTGTCCGCGTGGCTCGAGCAGATGATCGGAGGCCGCAGCCGCGGCCGACAGTCGGGGCGGCCGAACCCCTCTTCAAGTGTGCTCGTTCCGCCCTGGCATTCTCTTCTGCCTCCGCTGCGCAGGCTAGGGCTATTCCGGCCTGTCTCCCGATCGGCGCAGCAGTCGCGTTTACTTGATCCGCGCCAGGACCCCCCCCCCCCCCCCCGACACTCGACCGCGCCAACTCCGCCGCCCGCCCGCCCGCGAGTCAGCACAAGCGTTGCCGGCGGCGAAGAAATGCTTCTCTCGCGCGTCAAGGGTCTCTGGGGCCTCCTCCCGGTGAGAAGGGAACCGCTGAATTTCAACATCTCCACAGCTTCGCCCCGCAGGGCCTCGCGGGACCTGGCCCAAAGATCTTCGTTGACCCCCGCGGGGTCAAGCCTGCGACAACGGGGCCCCCAGGTCCTGGCGATCGTTTTGTGACCAGTCACAAACGCGAAACCTACTTACGACTGAACAGTCTCAAGCGCCAGGCAAAGGGCGACAATATCGGCTCGGGGGGCCGCTTGCATATCACCTGAGAGCGGGGCCCCGGGAGCCCCCCCACAGGCCCGCCCCCTTCCCGCGCCAGAGCGAAGACCTACAATCGCTGCCCCACAACGGCGCCGTCTTGGGTCACCAGAGAATCCCCCCTCGAGTCGTCTCCGGGAAGGCGGCGCCTGCCTGCCTCAGTGCTTTCGGCGAAGCCGTGATTCTGATACTGCACTTGCATCTCGGCGATCCTGGCCTCATCGAACTCTGGCACCGCGTGTCTCGCTGCAGGGGGCCTTCAACCAGAGCGCGGGCGTCGCCTCGTGCTGCGTGGACGCCAGGGGGGTCAGCATGTTCATATTGTCGACGTCCTCGTGGAACGCGTTCGCCGTGCACTCGCATATCATATGGCATAGCGCTTCTTCTCTCGGCTGACATGTTGGGCAAATTCTGCCTTTGATAATGCAACCCACTTTTTGTCTTCGCACTCTCGACCACTGCCCCCCGTCGCAACTATCAAGTTGAGAGCCGCCAGATCAGGAGCTCCTGGATCACGATACCTACGCTGCTCTCGTCGACGACGCCATGCGTCGCCACCAGGGAGAAGGTCTTGCCCATCTTCACGTTTAGCCGCCGGCTGCCAATAGAGCCTTCTCACGTCGCTGTCCAAATCTCCCAGGGCGGCGAGCCGCCCCCGATCCTCGGCGCAGTTCTCGCTGGAGCCGCTCGGGATGGGCCACGCCCGAAGCTGGCCATCTGGAAGACTCCCACTCAGTAGCCAGCACAGGGCTCCATCCAGCATCCACGAGCGCGGCCTGCGCCGCGGCGACGGGCCCCCTGACGCGGCGGCGGCGCCGCCGCCCTGCAACCAGCAAGCTCTGCCTAATCATGGCCCAGGCCAGCTCGACGGGAGCGTGGACTTGAGGTTGTTGTTGCCACGGCGCTAGCCACTCCACAACGACTCGCCCCCTCAACTCCAGGCCTGGCCCCGCCCCGAATCTCGATCGCCGAGGCTGATGTGAGACGCTCGACGCCTTGAGAACCAGCTGTCATGTGTCCTGCTTGCCGCCTAAGTCCAAAGTCTCCAGTGCTCCGACAGTGCCGAGCCATGGGCCTCATGCCCGCAGCTGGCATGGGGCCACGCCCCCGTCGCCCTGAGACCTTTCGACTCCCTTGCCAACATCGTGCCCTTGCTCATTCGCTGGAACTCGCCGAACCTCTTCTTTGCTTGCTGCAGCCTTTCTTCAGAGCGCGCGCCGCTCTCTTCATGCCCGCGCCCACGTCGAGGCCCAGATCCATCGCGCGCGTGACGCCCTTGGCAGGAATCCCAGATCGGCGACGCCGGTTCGCCGCCGACTTGACCGTGTCCCTCGCCGAGTCTGTGAGCACCGTCTTGTTTGAGATCTTCAACCGTTGCAGCTGAAGACCTTTCGCCAACTCCGTCGCCAAAGTGATCGTCTTGCCTGGTGCGTCGCGCTCCGCCCCCTCGACTCGCCGCGGTGTCGTCGACGAACGTCCAGAGCACCGCCGCGGGCGATCTGCGACGAGCACGCTGCGGCGTCGCGCGCAGGCGCGCCCGGGCGAGGCCGACGCCTCTGGGCGACCCCGCCACTATGGAGTGGGCAACCCAGATAGCTTCACTCAGCGCCGCCTTGCTCTCGAGGAAACGTGGGGCCGCGAAGGCGGGCGCCTCCATCTCGACCGCCGCCGCGGGGTACCTCGCGCCCCTCGCAATCCTCATAGGCGATGCCAGGCTCGCGCCGTCATGCAACTGCTCGACGCCCCTGAGCATGGCGAGGCTGTAGATGCCGAGCCCTGCCAACGCCCGCCGACACATGCCCGTCGCGGCCCCGCTCGAAGAGCCGAGCTGCCCTTGGGCGCTGTCTCAGTGCGCCCCGAGGCTGTCGCTCCAATCTCTGCATGGCGAAGCCCTCGCTCTGCCCCATAACTTGACGGGCAACGGCAGCACGCCCGGCGCCCCGTCGCCTCCTGCTGGTTTCGGGGCAAGGGCCCCGAGAGTAGCCGTCCACTGCCTTGGCCGCGTACCTGCAGTCTCGCGCGTGCTGACGAGGCCCACTAAGCGCCGCCGTCCTTCCATCGGTAATCTCTTGATGTCGCGGAGCTCGAGGCCGTCGGCGCCCCCCGCCTCGCCGGGGTTGCCGCCGCCGCCGCTGCATCGAAACCCTCGCGCGCGATGGGATCCAGATTCTCACCTGCCGCTTTCAGCTGCGTGATCTGGAACTCTGCCGCGACATCTTCTCTCGTGCCGACGCAATCTGTCCAGACATCAGGCCATCTCTGCGCCTTCGCATGCGCGGGGAAGTCAGGATCCGCGGGGCCAGCGCCATTGTGGAACTGCTCGCAGTCTGGCTCCTCGACGCGCTGGTGCGCGATACCATGGGCTGTCTTCTACATCAGTTTCGCCCACTTGGCGAATTGCTGCTTCTGGGCGGTAGGGCCCCCAGCGACCGCGATGACTGCGCGCGCCTCCGCTTCCCGCTGGATGGCCGCGACCTCGTCCAAACGACTTGACGTTCTGGAGAGTCAGCGCGCGCTCGCCTGCCTCCTCGCGGCCATAATTCCTTCCGAAAGCGGGCCCAAGCCAAGCCTGCGGAGCTTCCGGAACTCAGAGGGGAGGTCCTTCGCGCAAGATGCCAGATGACGATGGTCCGCGCCGTTGACCCTGAGCGCCTCGCACATCGTGATGAGGGCCCCGACGATCGACCAGTGCTCCGCCGCCCGTTACCTCCTGCGCGTTCTTCCCGGCGTCGCCCCTGACCACTGCAACCTCGCCGAGAAGCCTCCTCCTCCTCCCTCGTGCGCCTGGGCATCTTCCACGACCGTCGGGTCTACTTCAATGATCGCCTCACTCCAGGGCAGACCACCAAGCTGCGCGCTCGCTTGAGATCGCCTGCCCCATCAACGTCTGGCCCTCTGCGCGGACGAGGAGGTGCTGCTCGATCTCGCGCATCTGCTGCGCGAGGGGAAGGGCTAGGGCTTTCTTGATCGCCTCTTCCCACTGCGGCGCTTCCACGTAGCATTGAGCCCCTGCCTCGTCCTCCTTGGAGGCCTGCGGCCCCATCGTGTCGAACTCCTCGTGGGCCCCCCCTGGAAGCGCAGCTCTCCTCTTCTGGCGGCGCCGCGCTTGCCGTTCGGGCCCGCCGTCTTCTCGGGCGGAAGCGCCGCGAGTAGAAGTCGCGGCGGCGCAAGATGCCTGTGCCATCATGCCTCCGCTCGACCCGAGAGCTCCAGGAGGGGCCCCGCATGCGCCCCCCATAGTACTTTGGCGTCGCCCTCTATGGCGATGCCCGTCGC